CCAGTACTTGACAGTACTAGCACTCGGCGTCATCAGTCTAGGAAGCGGAGGAGTGGCGGGGGAAGGAGGCGACGAAATCAAAGAGTTTCGTCGGATGCCACTGGGTCCCGTTTCCCGGCTGCCCGTGCATGCGAGATCTCTTTTTCCCCCGACCTTTAAAGAATCAGAGCCGGAAGCCTCGCCACCCCAAGCCATTCCACTCTTCTGGGGAGCTGGAGGCTTCAGAGGAGAGGCACGTGATGCGTACGTCACTGCAGCAAGGTGAACACTCACCAACAGCAGCGTCAGAAGCAATGCAGACTCCTTATGGATCCCAGGCAATGGTTGTGGAGTCGATATGGGACGGCCTACCGGTCAACCTATACGCTGTTCGAGATAACTTTTGCAGGCAGGCAGCGTCTGTACCCATGCAAAATCCAGCAATGGCAGATACGTTCAGGGTGAATAGGCACTAGTAGCTCAGCCGCAGAGATCAGTGCTTGGACGCAATTCAGCGGAGGTTTGCAGGTCATGTGTACACAGTCTTGAGCATGACGCAAATTGCAGCATGGCACTCTGAATTGCCGGTTACACACGTTTTTGCAAAGCCTCCTCTGGGTCGTGTGGTCACTCCTTGGCCCTGCGAGCCCCGAGAATGGTCAGCTTGCCAAGATCTGGTACAGATATGATGTGTTCGACATGAACGGCTGGTTTTGTTCAGGTCAGCCACACAACATACAGATGATGGTCGTAGGGCACACCCTTACACGAAGCAGATCTAAAGAAACGGTCGTAGCTTTGTGTTATGAGCACAGAAACCCGCCCGATGCCCAAAATACCACTTCCGTTGGCAGGTAACTGGCCGACACTCGGCCGCAACATTGCAAGCTGAAGTAGTACTACGGGCCTGGAAAGGCATTTAGCACCCGTGGGTTTGCGCGGCCATGGGTTTCGTGGAGTGAAGGCCCTGAAACCAGAATCATCGTTTAGCAGCCTGTGATCTCTTGAAAGTTGACGCCCAGCAGCCATGAGAACTTTGCCTGCTTCCTGACAGCAAGGATCAGTGCTCGTCCGGTCCTGGAGAAAGTTTCTCATGCCTTCGTCGCGTTCTTTGCGCCTTCTCCAGCAGATAACAACTGATTCCCCATGTGTTGCATTGCACCAGGCTGAAGGAAGGGCATCCTAGGCAGCCTTTCGAATCCAATTAGCCTTCGTCTAAGAAGCCTGACAGATGTTTCAGGGAAACATATTCACACCCCCCCCAACTGCAAGTCCAAGGTGATCTATATTACTGTCGTGGTTTTCGCGATGCTGCGCGTCATTAGCGCCGTCTTCTTGAAGGCCTGTGAACACATGCATGTCTCTTTGTGGCCTGCTCGAGAACCTGGCAAGCAGACACCCTGGCCAAAGGACACATTGGATGCTGCACAGAATGATGCCGAACAGCTGGTCATGGACAAGATGCGGACGCAGTCGGAGCAACCTTACAGAATGTTGAATGGCTTCTATAGTTAGGGTGTTGGGGTTGGTTCCTCGTGCACCTTGAGGGCCTGAGGGGTCGAAAGGTCTCCAATCTGAGGGCGAGTGGACATAGACATAGACATAGACAGAAAGACAGGCGGCTTCTAGTAGACTACTATTGTCCACTTCCGTGGTGCGACTAGCCAGAACGTATGCCGAAAAGCAGACAGATTGTGTACATACATATGTACATGTGTACATATAAAATGAATATGCGTATATATATATATATATATGTATATGTATATATGTATATATATATATATATGTGTATATATATATATATGTATAAATATATATGTATATATATATATATATTAATTATACTAATTATACGCATGTACATACACATTCCGCAGCTCCCATACTCGGACAAACAAGCTTCAGGATGGGTTCCAACTCGTAGCCGTGCTGCTGGCATCAGCAGGGTGTTGACAGCGCATGGCATTCCGCTAGGAGTGCACTGATTGGGCAGCCCCTAGCAAGTAAGAAATCTTAAACCAAACGAACAAAGACTTATTGAAAGGGCGAAGAGGAAGAGTACGTTGCCCCTTCCCCTTTTTGGATACAGTTTGTACGATTCCGCGCGCACGAACACCTGCGACCCGACCTACCCTATGCAGGTATATTCAAAAGCTTGAGGAAATCTTCAGGCCGGGCACGGGATTCCCGGAAGGTCCCCGTACAGTCTCTACACAGGCATAGCCTAGCAGATAAGCCCCGAAACCATGTGGTAAATGTTCAGACCCTTAATTTCCCTTAATTTCCGCACAGAAAAGACCTGACATAAGCTTCACGAAAGCCGAAAAAGCCACTATTTCAATGACCAATGAATGCCCCAGTATTTCAGTCTCGCGGTGCTGTGCTGTGTGAAAACTCGATCGGCATACCTTACTTTCCTGGTCGATGGCAGGGTGTGTCCATGACACGGTCTGGGTCTATAGTTGTTCTAGAGGTTTGTAGAGTAGGGCTTAGTATGCTCCATAAGTCGGAACCTGAAGATGCCCTTTGACATGCAACGCGGTTGCTGGGCTTGGTCTGTGTCGTGGGGTGCTCTACATGTGTAGCAAAGGTGAGACTTTCTGGTGGTGACTATAAGCGGTCGCATGTACAAGCAGGTTCGGCCTCAAATAGAATAACTGTACTCATACATGTCAAGCTCCCCATGTCTCTATAGGTTCTCTGCATCCATTCTAGACTGCCTATTTGTTTCTCTCGCTCCCTCTCTCTCCCCCTCTCTCTCTCTCTCTCTCTCTCTCTCTCTCTCTCTTTTTCTCTGTCAACCAGTGTAGAAATGTACACAGATCTACGTGCACCTGAATGCGGAATACGTGTGCCCATACAACTGCGGGCATTTGCAGCAGAAGCTGCCCGGAGGAAGCGTAGACTAGTCTAGTCTAAGCCTTCTCATCCAGGCACATGCAGCATCTCCGTATGTATGAAGAAGTGCAAAGAAATTTATAAATACAGGAAGCTTGCGTACTCTGAAATGCTTGTTCTTTTGCTGGCGAGTGCATCCTTCCTGTTCTGTGCAAGAATTTGAGAAACAGCCTACTTATCTACATGCCTTCCGTGACAAGGATTCCCAAGATCATGAGTAGCACCTAGCCCAGCCATCAGCCCACCAAAGCCAGGGCGATCAGCTGCTCAAAGTCCAGCATGATCACGGAAGAAAGGCTCATTGAGCACCGTGGATCGCATCTGCTGAACTTGCTGCGTCTTGCTTTGGAAACTGAATGTTTGGATGAAGGGGCAGCTTCTGATTTGTTGGACCGAGCATGTCCGATAGGGTTGCATGCTTAAGCTTGTTCCATTGAGTCAAGGCCCCGATTTCTCGTTCACTTGGAATGTTGTATCTGGAGAAGATGAAAATATGCCTTCACTTGGGGTTTCAGGATCTTCCAGAACCCGAAGGTGGCGGCTTACTTCCAGACCTTGGACTTGGATGCGTCCGGGCAGCAAGGCGTTCGGTGTTCTCGGGAGTCCCAATCCCCCAACCCTAAAGCCCTGAGCTTGGCTCCCGCAACACCATCCAAGATCCTCGAACCTGGAGTCTTGCTGGTGAACGTAACAGTGACCTCATGACTGTGCAAGGCACCATGTACGTAGCCGTCTTAGCTGCTCACAGAATGGACAAACTGTCCCGCAGGCACTAGCCCCAAAGTTCGAGGTCTTCCAACCACGGCAGCCTCACAGTTCCAAGCCCGTTGTCCTAAGGTGCAGGAGAGCCGAGCTTTGTTTCACGTCCTCGCACCTTTGCATAGTTCAGTGGTTCAGGCTTGGTTGCAATTACCTTTTCTAGCCATAGCAGATGTACACAACAAGTGCTTCGACGACAATAACGATCACTACACCACTACTGTTGCTGCTGCAGACGCAGCTGCCACTACCACTGCGACTGCTACTGCTGCTGATGCGACTACTCCTACTGCCACATCTACTCCTACAAAGACTTGCACACGCACTCTTGTACTACGTCTTGCTCTTGTTGCTGCTTGCAGCAAGCGAGACTGGACACACTAGGACTGCCTAGAACTAGTCCAGGACCTAGCAGAAATCGTCGTCGCAGTTAGTCGTAGTAGTAGTAGCAGCAGCAGCAGCAGCGGCGGCGGCGGCAGCAGCAGGAGGAGGTAGTAGTAGTAGTAGTAGTAGTAGTAGTAGGAGGAGGAGCAGCAGCAGCAGTAGTAGTGGTAGTGGTAGTGGTAGTGGTAGTAGTAGCAGCAGTGGTAGTAGTACCACGCGGGCACATATTGGACCTGCAGTTATCAGCACTGTTGCTGTACTCGGCAGCATTCTTTCGCAGTGTGAAGTCTTTGTTCGGAGGGGGGTAGGCGTGCCTCCGTCCTGGGACAGAGAAAGACAGCCAAGTCTCTCAACGACGCTAGTGCCAGGGCCGAGGAATTCGTAGCAGAGTAGAAGTACTAGCATTAGTGGTAGTAGTAGTAGTAGTAGTAGTAGTAGTAGTGGTAGTAGTAGTAGTAGTCGCCGTCGTCGTCGTAGTAGTAGTAGTAGTAGCGCTACGTGTGGGAGTAGCAGGAGTCGTAGTAGTAGCAGCAGCAGCAGCAGTAGTAGTAGTAGTAGTAGTAGTAGTAGTACTAGTAGTAGTAGTAGTAGTAGTAGTAGTAGTAGTAGTAGCAGACTTAGTAGCAGTAGCAGTAGCAGTAGTAATAGTAGTGGTGCTGGTGGTGGTGGTAGCAGTAGTCGTCGTCGTCGTCGTAGTAGCAGTATCTGCGACTGCCGCTGTTGGCTCTTCGGTTAATGTTGCTGCTACGAAACCGTCGCCACACCCCCTCACACGTAACCAGACGGACATGCACACGGTGGTATGCACACAGAAGCACGCATGCAAACAAAACTGCCAGTAGCAAGCGCAACCTGAGCCACTACCACAGCTGACGACACCCCCCACCACCAGCACCACCAACACCGGCACCGGCACCGGCACCGGCGCCACCACCACCACCACCACCACCACCACGACCACTAAATCCGCCAGTACCTCAAGAAGCGGAAATGCAGGGCAACCAGACCAATCGGCACGCCACCCGAAGCAACGTCACAAGGATCCATGGTGATGCTTGAAGCCGCACATCTGCCTGCTTGACCTGATGCACTGTGCTGCGGGACGTGTCCTCCAGCTGCTCAAGACGATGGCTGACCTGCCAGAGGATCTCTCGGGACTGCAGCTTTACACAAACATGCAGCGCCACAGTCGTACCAGCATATACCCTCTGGCGAGCCTCTTCCATTCTCTTGCCCTGGGCCTCAAGCTTTTCCAAGCATCTGATCTCCAACACGTCCTGCAAGACGCTCCAGCTGCATGTCACTTTTTTGCACTAGCTGTGAGCCACGGAACCTCCCCCTGCATTATTCAATGTGTGACCTCCTGGCTCATCCTGCAAGACGTGCATAATAGACGTGACAAAGTTCTCGCAAACCCTCATAAACTTTCACGTTCAAGCTTCCTGCATTCACTGCTCTGAAACCAACAGCACTTGCCACATCGGGTGGAAAGCACCACACTCCTACGGAGCAAAAGGCCTGAGACTCGGATGGTGCGAGACATGGCTGTGGCCTCTGCACACTTGTCGCTAGTGCTTGCGAACAAGCCAGTCCTTCTGCGATTCCAGTTGGGTCTTCAACTCCTTGTGCAGGCGCCCCAGCTGCGCGGCTTCGTGACCTTGCTGCTCCAGCCTTCAAGTGGGGTGTAGGAGGTGGAGGTCAGAGGGGGCATTTCGGGTGGCAGGATGTCGCTGTGTACCTACGCAGGTTGCACAACGAGAAGCTGTGGAATTTCAATTCGTGTCAGACGCATGAGTCGGTCCCTTGTCGGAAAGATTCCCCGGAGAACTAGCAATGAGTGCAAACTCAAGTCCCTCAACTTGCCTTGCATCAAGGTCCGCAAGCTTCCTCTGTAGGAGGGGCTGGACATCCTTCAGCTCCGCTGACAGGAAGAAGGCTATTACCAGTTTCTACAGCAGGAAGCTTCCATTGGATCATGCTTTGAAACTGGTATTATTGCAAGTCCTGCGCAGACTTCTCCAGCTGACTGAAGAGCTTCTGTGCGTTCTGCTGCCTGCCCACTGTGATGTTTCTGCGAGATTTAGCAGTGCATCCCAACAGATCTGTGACCAGCACACGCCCACTACCCACTTGCGAGAAGGCTTCTGAGCATAAGCGAAGCAGCACCTCGCATCGTGTTCTGCCAGAACTGCCCTCTGCTCCTGTGGCGAGAGCAGGTTCCATTCCAATCTGCAACGTTGTGACCCCGAATATCCCCGACAGTTCTGAAGCAGTCGGCGTCTCCAGCAAAGCTGGACAACATGGCACAATGCTGTCGCCAGCTTCGAGACCCACTGTTCCAACAGGTCTCCTCCAGACTTCGAACCACATCTGCGATGCTTGCCTGCGAGCAAAACCAAAGGGGCAGAAGCGCTCCAAAGAGTGAAACACCTGAAGCCTGGAACTAAAAGTCTGTGCCGTGCCATGCACTCGGCTAGACGCATTGATGCACCGGGCCTCCGGAACCTTGTCAAAGCGATGGCTTTCTAGCCTCAAGCTTCTGAAGGACCAGAAAAGCTCTGCAGTATCCACTGGCTGATCTGTTGGATTGTGCAAGAAGCCTGACTTTCCTTTTTGCTTGCATTCTTCCTCGTAGTCTGAGCAACTGCACCATTGGGCACCCCGGGAAGCGATCTACTAAGCCTGCAAGTAGCAGGAGCCTCCTCGTCATCCTAGTCGACCTGCTGGCAGACAGGTGGCAGGCCTGCCATGTCCTCCAAGCGCTGGCGAAGGATGTTAACTGCACCAGCATCAGTGGCCTTGGGGGAGCCGATGTGAATGTGCTCTCGCACCAAGTTCACAGCAGCTGCAAGCATTGAGTCTAACCCTTGGCAAAAGGCGGATGCCGTGCGCTTCTGCTTTGCCAGCTGCACCGCTGACTGAATTCGTTTGGCAGTCGAGACCGTCGAGCTCTGGCATGAAGATTGCCACTGCTGCTTACAGACCGTCCAGACCGACTCCAGCTTCGTGTGCACCTCGTGCACGATGTCACACATGCGCAACATCTCTGCCTCGAACTTCGAAACCCCAACAACAGCGTTGAGTCCGTCCAAGAATGTCTTCAGGGGCTGACACATTGCCAGCATGTTGAAGCGCACATCGTCCAAGGTTTGCCTCATCTCTCCACGCACTTCTGAATTCAGAGGGGCATTGCGTGCAAGTGTGCAGGCTTGCAGGAACAGAAAGTGCACCTGACGAACCACGGCGCTGTAATGGGGAACACCAATGCTGCTCGTGCCGAAGCCCAGACATCCCCACAGCTTCTCGACAGCCGCCATGTCAGCCAGGCAGGCTCGGGAGCGCGTCTCCAGCCCAGCCTCTTGGCTCTCCAACCAGCCAAGCTCGGAGCTCTGATGACTCTCGGGCTCTCCTTCGTGGGCAAGCAGCTCGATCACGCCGGGGCTGAAGGTGCGCCGGCGGCCCAGAGCCCGAAATTGACGGGCCGGGCTGCTGCCTGCGGCACGCAAGGCAGCGGCTTCATGATGAACAAACACCAACTCGATGGCCACAAAAGCTTTGTCCACCATTTCCTTTGCGATTTCCACAACGTGGGCGTGAGAGCGTGAACTTGCCGCATCTCCCAACAAACCTTCGAAAAGCAAAGACGAAGACAAGGACACAATCTCACCGACCAGGACAGATGCAACCTGGCTGCGAATGAACGCCCAGCCAGTTGTCATGTAGCCAAATATCACAACAGCACATGCAATACACATCACCGAGAACACGAAGGGGATAACACCGTGATGAGCCTGCACCGCACCGAAGAGAGTAAAGGATGCGAAGCAGAAGCTGCAGATTTGGAGGGGCTCCTTGCCCAAGATATCCATAAGAAGGGCCATGCTCACTGCCAGCCCGCAACCCATGCAGGTGCCCACAACCCGCTCCGAAGCTCTCAAGAGCAAGCGCTCGACTGTGATGCCAGGCTCCATTAGGAGCACTACCACCACAATTGCACTGCTGGGTTGGAAGCTGCTCCATGGAGGGCCACAGCCCTCGCCCATCGCCTTCAGAAGAACACATGTCGAGACAGCTGCTCCGAAGGGAAGGGTCTTCCGCAGCAGTGCCTTGCCTCCAGCGTATGCAATTAGCGAGATGACTGCTATTGGCACGAGAAGGAGGTTCAACAGCGGTTTCAAGCTGCCCACCCACATCTCGAGAATGACGGAAGCAGAAGTAGCCTCACATGCCAGATCTAACAACCAGCCTACAAAGGATGCGGAGATTCTCGGAGGAGCCGTGTCTCCCTCCCCTCCCGGCCCTCCATTCCCCTTCTCAGCCACGGCAGTCACTGTAAGAACCATTGCTCAGCGGTCGCTAGAGCCGATCTGCACTCGAAAGACGGCTGCACAACACGACAGTAGCGACAAACAAGTTTTTGGTGGCTTTGCTTCGACAGCTTCCAGATCTTCCAGGGTTTCGGACCGTGCGATCGCTTTGGGCGAACCAGACCTTAAGCAATGACAAGGCATGAGGCTTCAGATTGCAAAGCGGCTGCTGACATGAGGGATCCTCAGAAGGGTCAATTGCAAGCAGTGCCTTATCAAAGAACCCTTTTCAGCCGTCCACACCGTCTTCCGCTGCACATGATCCCAAAAAGCTTTGCTCCACACCTCAACCCTAAGCCCCTTCCGTGGCACTGGCTGCATTATCTCCAAGCGAGCCTCCAACCTCAGATTTTATGCAAGACATACGACGCGGTGTCTTTCCGGGAACAAACGACTCGAAGAGTGTTGCCAATCAGGCTTCTTTCGAATTGTGTAGTTATGTTGTCGAGGTAACCACTAATCACTTCTGAGCCTTCTGAACTATCCGTTGCTTGTTGCGCATGAGGTCTCGTGCTTGGGGTCGGGGCGAACAGGGCTTGGTGACGGTTTCTTGTTCTTGAAACATGGTTTCTCAAGTTGCCAGGCTCGAGCCTATGTAAAAGCGACGCGAAGCTTGGAATCTTCCTTTGAGATCTTCAAGCCCCGAACCCACTCACATCGACGCTTTATTTATCCCACGCATTCGACGGAAGGTAGATTGCAAATGAACTACACTGCAGCTACACGTCGGATTCATTGGATCTTGAGGCTGGGAGCTGACCGCAGTCTGCATCTCAAGTTTCTGTCACACTCGTGTTCTCGACTTCTGGATTCCGATGGTATTTCAACTTCAACATGCATGGTGCTTTGAGCTTCGAATGCTTTGGATTTGCACCCCTGGATATCGAGAGCATGTTCATATCTTACGAACATCCGGACACAGAACCAAACACCCGCCCACCGCAGAATGGGTTTCTCAGACCTCCCCAGGGCCAAGGTGGACAGCCGCAACACTTCGTTCTGGTTTAGGGTTGCTGTCTCTCGCTGAGGCCACAGCTCTTCCAGACGTGCCTGCGCGGACCACCGAATCTTCGATGCTCTCCAAGCCATGTTGTGAGCATCTAGGAAGAGTCTCAAGTCTCACGCATAGTGCAAGCTTTGGCTCACCAAGACTGCGGGATTTCCTTCTTGACGTAGGTGTGCAGGAGTTCGACAGCCAGCGGATGATGCGGGCCTTCAACCGCTTTTCGGACTTCTCGGTACCCTTCCGCTCCTGATGACAAGGCATGAATCATGGAAGAACGAGCGAGAACTCAATCGAAAAAAACTGCCTTTCCTGCCTGAGCACTTTACACCCGACACAACAGTGAGTCAAGTCGTGCCACCACTACCATGTCTTTAAACCTGCGGCGCTGCCGAAGCCTCCCTATCATGTTGGGGCCTCTAAAAATACCAAGACATGAAGCCGTTCATGAAGTCGCCTGACCAGAGCCCTGTCATGGCTAGGAAACCCTGTGGCAGAACCAATGCAGCATGCCTCGAGGCGGGAGGACTCGTGGCGCGAGACGTCGGTGGCCTTTCGGTCTCTACACGATCACGTTTTCGCGTTCACCTCGTGACGACGTAGCGAATCTGCACGACCAGCTGCCCTTGTCTAAGCTTTGCTATGGCGCCAATGTACCCAGGATGTACGGATCTTCACAGCGACTTTTCTGAGAGGCCGAGTCTGCCCGCCTGCTCCTGCGCCAGGCGACGTTGCTGCTCAGAGAGGCCTCGTTCACGCACAGGGGTTTCGTCTACATGAGACCTCTGTGCTTTGCTATTCGAGCGAGGCCACTGCTCAAATGGCCATTTCTCCTGGAAGCCTGATCAGACCGGAAGCCAACAAAAGCCTGGGCTGGGGTTCGGGCGGTCCAGGATCTTTGCCTGGCTCTGAAACTCTTTTGCCAGCCGCTTCATCTCCTTGTCGTGAACCTCCCAGCTTCGAGGAACGAGCACAAGCGACTCCGCAGGACTCCATTCTCAAGTTCGATGACACTTGCTCGGTAGCTGCGTGGGTGAAACCAGCGGCCAGAAGCTTCAACTCGTCTCGACGTAGAATTACTTCCCGTTGAAAAACGCGGTCACCCCACAGCCTCTCTGTATCTGAGGACTCTGCTACGTCTTGAAGGCTGCAGAGGTTGCGTAGAACCCTGAACTCTGTATGTGGGCCTAGGGCCTACGACACAGTGTCTTGATGCTCGAGCACTCGAGCGCAAGCAGGGGCATGCACCTCCAGTTGCACCGCTACGCGTGCGGTTTCGCGAGTCCTGCAGACTCGTACAGCTGTGTCGCACGCGGCCTCTTCAACTAGACCGATCAACGCAGAGCACGGTCGTAAGATGAGCCCCTGTCGCCGAAACACTGGCTCCTGGGCGAGCCTGGTTCGGCGCCTGCCAAACCGACGTAGAAGTATGAAAAGGGCCACGCAATGCAAAAGTTCGGTTGTGGCCTTCTCGCACCTCCTCGCCTCGGCAAAACAGAGACTCCAAGCTGCACGGCATGGCATCGCAGCTGCATGGCAGCACCTAGCCAACTCCCCTTTGTTTGGGGCTCACACTCGGCCGATGCTGCGTGCGGCTGTTTGCGACCTACGCGAAGCTCAGAGAGACTTTGACGGTCGCATGCTCCTGCTCGCCTGGTCCAGGCGCTCCTCCAGATGCCTCGCAGAGTGCCGTCACAAAACTTGGCCGGGCCGTGTAAATCGTCCGCTTGGGTTACACGGCTTCTTTGGACCGCTGCTCAAGTGGACCTCTGCCTTTTGAAGCCTGCTATGCCCCAGAGACACTGCAAGGAGGAGCTTTCCTGTAGGCTTCGTGGTTTTCGTGCAGGACGTCACCTCTTCATCAGCTCTCGCTTGCCCTGCTCTTCAGCCATCGAAATCTCGGCGGCACCGAGGCGCTGCAGTAGACTTGAGACCTGAGTCGGAGCCACGGCTTCGAGGCTCGGGCTCCCCACCAAAGCTTAGGCGAGGGCATTGTTGCCCATGGACTCATGGTTCTGCAGAGCAGTGCTGTGAACAGACTGGATCTGTCCAGAGATCCTGAGACATGTGCTTCACGAAAGGTGCCACGTTGCAATTTCAGCTCAGGCGTCCGAGGACGCAACTGCCGGAACTCATCCGCGATTCGCTGCTCCATCTTGCCACGCAAGCTCTCGGCCTGCCAGCTAAAGGACCGTCAGCAAAAAGAGGAAGATCAAGGTCGGGAAGATCGTAATTACGGGCAACATGTCAAAGAGGTGTATCGGCAATGTTGTCGTGTGATTCCGAGGAAGTCCTCTTGCAGCCCTGCCTCGGCAGCAAGAGCACCTGTGACACCCTTGATGTCTTGCACGACGCGGTCCTCGCACTGCAGCTCACATTCTCCATGTTACTGTAAAGTCACCTGCTGCAGAACGTCCTGCACGGGTTGTAAACGCTTCTCGACCTGAAAGATTGACCGGTGTAGATCGCTCAAAGCTATGGCGTGCGGTGAAGCGGCATGTGCCGCGCGTACGTGTATCAAGCGGCTCTAGCTTCGAATGCCTTTACCACTGACTAGCATTGAAACGCGGCAGTCTCGTAACGATCCCCGGGATCACCGAAAAGCAAGCAGCAAACAAAAACACAAACACACACCAGCCTCTTGCGACAGCCGTTGCTCTGTCCTGAGTTCTTGAAAAAGCTCTTGCATTGGAGCTCAAGAGTACAGCACAGTCGCAAGAAGCGAGTTGAAAGCTGCGAGCATGAGTTTCAAAGGCACCCCCAAACAGCAACTCGGCCGAAGGTCTGCAAACCTGCCTCTCAGTGCCCCGCTCTTTAAGTGCACGATCCATCCGCTGTCGCCAAGAGTCGACGGATCCCTTGTAGCGAGGCGAGAAGGCAGATGAGTTGAAAAATGCTTTGCTATCCTTGGTGGGGCTAAGCAGGGACGGTCTGGTGCTGTGAGAGCGAAGCTCATCAGTCGTGAAACACGAGACTCGCCTGTGCCCGCATAGAGTTCCCTGGGTACAAAATGTTTCTCAGACTCAGAAAGACACCTGTAGTGGCCAGCAACATCAAATGTTGCCAAGGGTATTGCTGTAGACATCAACTTTTCTTATCCGGACTGTCGACAAGGTACGTTTCGAGCGTCAAGGGCTGAATGGGAAATTCAAACACCGAAGACGCCTTTAAGAAACCGAAAGTTTCCGAAGGCATCCTGAAGCCCTGGCTCTGTGCTCCCGAGCCTGGCCTCCAGGGTCGCGATGTTGGCAGCTGCTGTTCGAAGCGCTTCAGAGTTTTGATCTCGCAGATCCTGCTCCAGCGCAAGTTGCAAGCTAACTTTTTCCATGAACTGGCGAAAGCTTGACGAGCATCGAGCAAACATCTGCTCTTCATCGACTGGCGGCGCTCTGCTGAACTGGCGAAGAAGAGCACTGCTGCCTCCATCTGGGCCATCACCTGACGGTCCGCAACGATGTGAATCAGAGACCCCCATATGTCGAATACTGGTGGCCGGGCTTTCTTCGGGACGCTTCTCTGCCAGTCAACAACTGCTGAAATGGCTTTACCACAGCTACACTGCCAACTGCGGGCATCGGTGACATAGAATCGTAGTCCACAAGATCAAGCAAAGGGCCTACAAGGCAGAGCCGCCGAAGCGTCGTGCAAGCATGGATTGTTAAGTGCTCGACCTACACATTGAGATGCTGAAGCACAGTCTGCAAATTCCCCAATCCGGATGCAGCAAAGAGAGCGATGCATCCCTCAAGCGGTAGTTTGGTGGATATTTTGTGCATGGTGGGGCCGGGGGGGGGGGGGGCCGAAGCTGACCTCCTGCGAGTTCAAAGCGCTCTTCAGCTCATGCACCTGGTCCTGGGAAGAGCTATCAGGCATGAGGATGCGGATGACGTCGTGGGGCCAAGATTTATTCATGATGGCTGGTGATGATCGTGGTGAGGGCCTGCCTGGATATACCTGGATGATGATGGTGGTGATGGTGATG